ATTCTCCGGGCGAACACCCATCTTTCGTGCTCCTCAGACCCTCTCGAAGTCGGACCCCCCGACGCCCCGATACGGCCCGAGCCCGACGTTGACACAAACTCTACTTATCGTAGAGTAAGATATGCATTTGTTGGGTAAGAAAAGTCATAAAACCCTAAAATAATCTTCTCCTTGTGTGAGAACAGGCCCCTGAGAACAGAGCCTTGGCACAGATATGTAAGGTTGTAGAGGAGATATGAGTCTTCTTGCGAAAAACTTTGATTTTGCGTACTACACAATAATACTATTTCGAAAGAGCTAGCAAGATAGATTGACAAGCTAGATCCCCAGATGCACCAAGTAGAGTGGGGCAATCCGCAAATCTCCCAAATACAAGACAGTGATATAAATACTAAGACAAAAATGATAAAATTAGGTAGATCATAAAGTAAGAAAAGTAGTCTATGTGTATAATTGTATTGATATCATTTCACCATACAGCTGTAAGGGCAACCCCGGAGGCCTGAGATCAAGGTCCTAGCAGGGGAGGATCCAAAGCGTGAACATTGGTAAGCGAATACAAATGAAGCTGACCTAGCAGGGGAGGATCCAAAGAGAAGAAACTCTAAGGGTCCGCCTGCTAGGTAGCTGACTATATACTGCTTGTCCGTAGCTGCCGCTGTCGGGCACAGAAGGCTTGGGCGGCGTCGCAGGCGAGTTCCCAGGGCAACCGTCGGGAGGGCGTTGACGGATCGGTGATTGTGCGGGCGAGATGGAGGGCCGGACCGGAGTCGGAACCGGAATCGGACCGGAATCGGACGTGTCTCCGGGCCAAAAGGGAGGTTCCCCTGACAACAGCCCAGAGTTGAAAATCCAGGTCCAGATGACTGGTATTGCATGTTGTAGTGTCAATGACCACTCATAACCTGTGTAAATCTTCCGTGTTCGTGACTATCTAGTTTTCCTTGTGAAGTATCCCATGCTTTTGAGTAGGATAAGTTGATAGCTCAGCTTCCCAGCTTTTGAATGACACCCATAACTCGTATCTTGTGCTTATGGCCTCAGCGGTAGTTGTGCCAACTCTCCTGGTGCAAATCCAGTGTTCAGATGTCTAGTTCCTTGACAGTGTTTGAGAGTCGCTATTAATCGCAGGTCCAGGACCTAATCCATTGAGTTGGTTTCTCCTGTTTAACTGTCCCTTGGCACTTTCGACCCTCCAGCAAGATCTGGAACCACATTCCAATGATGTCAGTCATTGATACCAATAGAGATAGGGGGCTACCCTTATCTAGGAGAAGTAGATTTCGAGTCTCCGTGCGCATTAAACCAAATATGCCTTTTTGTATACACTCCCTTTGGGTATTTTGCATAGGACTGGATAGATCTTTGCAAAGATTGGGCTCTGTGAACTTGTCTTAGTCTAAAATCCCAAATTGCAGAGTATGAACTGTTATGTTTCGACTGGTTCTTCTGCAGATAACTTCCTAGCTGTCAGACTTCGGGTCGGGCCGTGCAAGGACCTTTTCTAAGAACATGCGCCCGGAACAGAACAGACGGATAGTCGGGCCCGCAAGGACGGCGAGCGAGGTAGATCGAAACCGTAAGGGCCCGTGAACTCGGTCCCTGGTCGCTGTCGGTGGTCGAAGGTTTGAATCGGGTCGTGTCGGGCCCGATGAGTAGAGAACGCCTCCTTGCACAGAGTAAGGTAGTTCTTCAGACGATCTAAGCGATAGGGTACGGGTACACTATCGCGCCTTATATACGCGGGCCCGCAAAGGGGGTGATCGGACACCCTGGCCTCTCCTCCTCCTCCTCGCTCCCGTTCCTGGCCGCAGAGGGGACGATCGTACGTCCCTTGCGGGCCAGGCGCTACTCCTAACCTCCTAGCACTCCTCCCCAGTCCCCTTGTGTCGAGTTGGGCTCGGCGACGGCTCGACGCATCGTTCTCGGTCACGTGCTTCCCACGTGTGCGTTCCTCCTACTGGGGCGCATGTTTCCCGTCGTCACGTGCTGCGTGCTACGGGCCCGCGATGGCCCGACACCAGCGCCGGAGCGGATGGGCCGGGTCTTATCCGTGACACTAGCTGAGCATTTGGGACTCATGTCAACTCTAAGACATGTGGCTGAGCAATGAAATCGACAAAAATAATTGTTTCCTAGTCTGTCCCAGACTGTAGCTTATCACCAGCCTGTCTGCTCTGGCACTGGTGTCAGGCCACTGAGGGCTTGCAACATGCAGCACATGACGATGGGGAACAGGCACTCCAGTAAGAAGGAACATACACATGGGAAGCACATGACAGAGACTGACATGTCAAGCCATCACTGAGCCCAACTCACAACACAAGGAGACTGGGAAGGAGTGCTAGAAGGTTAGGAGTAGCGCCTGGCCTGCAAGAGATGTACGATCGTCCCCTCTGCAGCCAGGAACAGGGGCGAGGAGGAGCAGGAGAGGCCAAGAGTATCCAATCACCCCTTAGTGGGCCCGTGTATATAAGGCACAATAGTGTATACTGTACTCTATCACTTAGAGGGGTGCACTTAGATTGTCTATTGTACTACTTCTCTCCATGCAAGAAGGTATTGCCAACTCATTGGGCCCTAAACAACCTGATTTGACCCTGACACCAACTTTGATAAGGGACTGCTTCAATGGGCCCTTTTGGCTTGATTCAACCCCGCTTCGCTCTGCTTGCAGGCCTGACAATTTGTCTGGGCTGTTCTGGGCATGTTATCATGCCTGAAAATTGTTAGACAAGAATACAGAAACACACATGAGATTCACTTTCTAGGGAAAATTCACACCAGCTTGTCAGGGGAACCTCCCTTTCAGCTCCTCGGAGATGATTCCAATTGTCAGGGGAACCCCCGCTTCGGCCTCCTTCGGACTCTCCGAATGCATCCGAGGCGCATCCGACCGGCGCCCCCTCAGACGCTCTGACCCACCCCGACCATCGTCCTCGGCCTCCTTCGCCCGCACAATCACCGATCCGTCAAGACCCTCCCAACGATCACCTTGGGACAGAGCCTGCGACACCGCTCAGGCCTTCTGCGCTCTACGTCGGCAGTTACGGACGACCAGTATATAGTTGGCGCCCTAGCAGGCGGACCCTTAGAGTTTCTTCTCTTTGGATCCTCCCCTGCTAGGTCGGTCCCTCCGTGTATTTCCGTAGCTTTTATTCACGCTTTGGATCCTCCCCTGCTAGGCTTTCGTCGGAGTCTCCAGGGTTGCCCTTACACCAATTCCGGTCTGATTCCGATGGCATTTCCAGTCTGATTCCGATGGCATTTCCAGTCTGACCCCCGCTTAAGCCCTTGCTATCACAGATCCGTCAACGTCTTCCCAACGGTCGCCCTGGGACCTTGCCTGCAATGGCGCCCAGGCCTTCTGTGCCCGCCAGTGGCAGCTATGGACGAGCAGTATATAGTCAGCTACCTAGCAGGCGGAACCTTAGAGTTTCTTTTCTTTGGATCCTCCCCTGCCAGGTTAGCTTCATTTGTATTTGCTTACCAATGTTCATGCTTTGGATCCTCCTCTGCTAGGACCTTGATCTCAGGCCTCTGGGGCTGTCCTTACACACTGTAACTACAGTGTTACTTACCTTCAGGCATTGTGAGATAAGCCCTTCATACCTATTATACCAAGACTATGAACAAAGTTTTAAGTTAGCCCAAATGTAAGTTTCAGTCACTGTTAAGTTTGTGTTATTACGATTGGTTGAGAGTGTCTAGTTGGGTGATTGAGATAGTTTAGGGAATAGTAGACAATAATAGCCTACCAAATATATTCTTTTTGAGCTGTAGTCCTAGTATTTTTGAATATTTGCTCGGAATATTATTTCAATGCAGCCAATTTTTTAAGACTATAAAATTTAATCATTCAAAATATTATCCACTATTTATAGAATCATACACAGATACTCAAGTAGGTTATGAAATCTCAGGGTCTAAATGACCTCTACTGTAATGCCACATGTATTGGCCTATACTTATACTTAGCATATTATATGATTTTTTTCATATATCACACCAGGTTAGGGACTCTCCAAACATATCTTCAGAAATTTATGTATTTGTTCAGACTTGCATCTAGCCTGCAAAACATATAGTTGCTCACTCCTATATAGCATTATGATAGGCTAATATTATAGCCATTCAGATTCCCTCCCTTTGGTCCCTGTATGGAACTTACTGTAACTTGTAAATTTCTTCTGATTATTAGACAGATGATCTATGGGATCTTGACTACTTAGTGTTTTGTTGCCTTCTGATTCAAGTTGTCAATGACTTGAAGCTGATAATACAGTAATGTTCAGGTTCTGAAACCTACAGTCGCCAGACGGCTTCTCAATATCCAAACATCTATTCAAATTATTATTACTTATTGAACTCTGGCTGGACCTGGCTGGACTGAATGCCTCCAGCTCATGCATATGGCGGCTGACTATTTGACCTACGACTTTCTGGTCAAGGTGTCTACACCTCTGAATTAGGCTTGGTCTGTTGCTGAAACACCTATTTGCCGCCATACTGCCGAGTGACATTCTAGAAAACCATTCGCTGGCCAAGCTTCAGTTGCTTGTGTTGTTCAATAACACCACAATTAGAGCGTGAGACTCCGACGATGCAGAATGAGTACACGTCCTGCCAGCTACTCCCGGTCACTCAGTATTGGTTGCATCTTCTCCCTACTAGATAAGGGGGGTCGCTGAATATGCATACACGATACAGTAACATGAGGTTCTCGGAGGCCCAGATAGGAATTTAAAATCGTCATGCCGGTTTCGCTTCTGGTTATGGCCGAACGCAATTTCCGGCCTTGAGTCAGATTTAGAACGGTGGTGAAGACCGCTTCGCCGTCACCCACGTCAACCCACCCCTCCGTCTCAACTCAAGTTTCAACTCATCGGGTGCCTTGGAGCCTGGGGGTCAATTGCACATCGCCGCCACAAGCCCTTGCCTTCCGACGACCTTATCCAAACGCGTATGTATATGTATTATTTGAACGACCAGCCTGAGAGCTAACGCGATTCGTACCCATTGAAACGGATATACTGGCCTTGACCAGTCCCGCTCTTGGTTTGAACCGTCATCTGCATGCCCATACAGAACAGGAAAGTTTCCTCGACGTGGTACTTGATGACGGTTAGACATCCAAGTCGTACATTCCTCCCGAAATCAAGCGTTTCAGATCGCAGACTTTGACAGAACGGCGTTTCTCGGGGATAGTGCCTTAAGCCCATAATTAATGAATGAAAACGATGAGTGCGCCTTACACTGTATGTTTGTACGAGCCAACTACCATCATCATCAGCCTCGTCCGTGTCGATCCCACTCACGTTCCCGAGAGCGATGTTGGTCACGGTCGTGATATGGTGGAGAACGGTCACGACGTGGAGAATAACCGCGTCGAGGCGGTGGAGAGCGACTTCGTTCCCGACGCGGAGGCGTTCGCGACAAAGACCTTTCGCGTCTCGGAAAACCTCCGCCTCCCAGCGAGTTTAACAAGTCCTGTACTCCTCTTACCCCGTCCGATTTCCCTTTCTTCTCTTTCCGCGCCTTCTTCTCCGCTTTTTTCGCCTTTCTGGCACGCCTCTCTTCAGGTGTCTCGTCCTTATGCTTGCCTTTCGACTTGGATTTCTTCGTTTTAGATTTACTCTTTTGCAGAGCCTTGGCCTCGCGCCTTTGGGCAATCAAGAAGTCGCGCATCGGGTCTTCTGGGTCAATGGATGCTCCAGTCGAGGCCGATGATTCCGAAGCAGCATCGTCACCGTCATCTTCCGTGATATTGAGACACTAATATGTCTGGACTGGGATTCCACGTACCCATTATCATTTCAGGTTTGGCATTGAGACTCTGCTCCTCCGGCTCAACGAGCTCTCCATCTTCGTTTCGCACTTTGCCCTGCTTATAGTTCTTGACATGGTCTACACGTAATGTCTTTTCCAACACATGTGCGCCATTGAGGTTATCGACTGCGAGCACCGTCGACCGTTGGTCTTCATACATGAGAAACGCGAAGCCGCGTCGTTTGCCTGTGTCTTTGTCGCGGGGCATATTGATGTCCATGACTTCACCATATCTGCGGCGGCAAAATGGTAAATAAGTTGACGGAATTTAAAGGTGAGACTCACTGTGAGAAGATAGTTATAACATCTCCCTCTGTGAGATCGAAATGAAGGCCTCCTACGAAAATATAGGCCGAATCCTTGTACTCGTCGTGCCAGGACGCGCCGCTGGCTCCGAAATCGAGCTCTGCTTGGTTGATTTTGTTGATTTCGCGCACTACACTAAGCATCATTGTCAGCGGGTGTTCTTTGGCACAATCTTCACGTACTTCATGGTGAGTTTTAGCAGGAGATGTGTGACGGGTAACGCCGACGTCACACTCGACCTTTTTTTCGCCTTCTCCAGCGATGGCCTCATTCAAGCTTCCACCCATCCACGACAACCCCGATGGTGGCTGGGGACCATCTACATCGAATCTTCCAGAACAATTCAAGTTCAAGGACATCCCCTACGCCCCATACTCGAAATCTGACAAACTTGGTCGCTTTGCCGATTGGAATGATTCTGCCGACCCGCGTCAAACTGCTGTCGGCCTTCCGCAGGCGCAGGGACTCAGAGGAACCGGTCCTGGCGGCCGAAGACGGGATGGAACCCAGGCATTTGGCAGCGGTTCTGCTAGTGCATTTGCCTACTTCCACGTCGAAGACGAATCGTCGTTTTCGCTCGTGGATAACAAAACCACTGTTCCGCGAAGGGGCGGCGCCTTTGTCAGAGGAGGAAGGGGTGGCACTCGTGGTGGTTCTCAGTCTTATAACTCTCGCGGAGGAAGTAACCAAAGAGGCGGTCGTGGTTTTGTCCCTGGACGCGGTGGTCAAGGTCAAAGAGGTGGACGAAGGGGTTGGAGAGACTGGGAAAAGGTACTTTACTCGCTCCCGCTCAGCCTGTATACTTACGTGCATGCAGAACAACCGAACCCGCGAATCGTCGGTCGTCATTTCTCCCAGTTGGTCGATGCTGGAGGAGATCGAATTCCATCGGCTCACAAAATTACGTCTCGAAGTTGACGAACCTGTAGATCTGTGGGTTCCTGTTCTTTCCCATAATTAATCTGATTCTTTCCAAGGGACACTTATGGCCGACTTTTTGCATACGACAAAACGTTTGATCGTATAACCACCAAAAATGAGCGACCTCTGCAGCTAGTAGACCGCATCAAGTACAATACAACCACATCTGACGACCCTATTATTCAAGACGTGAGATCTTATTCCAGCTCTTCTTACAAGAACTGACACTGGGAAAGCTCTCCTCCAAAAACACGGCCACTGTCTACGCCACTGATGTTATCCTCAGTGTTCTCATGTGTGCTCCACGGTCTGTCTATCCATGGGACATTGTCATCGTGCGTGAGGGCAACAATCTATATTTTGACAAACGCGATGGCGGTCCATTCGATACCGTGACTGTCAACGAAAATGCTGCCGACCCACCTCAAGACCCTACTCCGCCAAACCCCAACAACCCACAGGAAAAAGCAGCGGTACCAGAGGTACCGTCAATCAACTCTGCGACCTCCCTTTCGTTGGAGGCCACCTACATCAACCAAAACTTTGGCTTCCAGTCTGTAATTGAGACTGCGCCGCCGCCGTCTGTTGAGCTCGCGCATCCGAATCCATTCTACGGCCCAGACGAGACAGAGCCACTTGCTTCTTGTGGGTATCGTTACCGTGTATTCGACCTTGGTATCACCGAAGACGAGGACATCAAGATCTGTGTCAGAACGGAGGTCGATGCGTATATTCCAGGGCAAGGAAACCCTCGCGATGGCCAAGGGCTCGTCACAGTCCGTGCGTTGAACGAATTCGATCCCCGTTCTCAAGGCGCCGGTGGCGCACCCGATTGGCGCGCAAAGCTCGATTCTCAGCGCGGCGCTGTCGTTGCCACGGAGATGAAGAACAACAGCTGCAAGCTCGCAAAATGGACTGTGCAAAGTGTATTGGCCGGGGCTGAGTTGATGAAGATCGGGTATGTCTTTGATTGATCTTCGCAGTTTCATTATCGGGCCTTCCTTTCCCTCCCCTGATCATCTTCCGCGTTCCATCGGAGGATTGCCCACGGAACTTGCCCCGCCTCCACCTCCGCTTCTATGTTTCACCTTCATCTCATCTCATCTCGCGATTACCCACTCACCGTTATCTCCAGTTACATCTCTCGCGCCAACCCGCGCGATAATACTCGGCACGTCATTCTCACCACGGCTTCCATGCGCCCGACCGAGTTTGCGGGCCAGCTCAATGTCTCGCTGGCCAACGGCTGGGGAATTGTCCGCAGCGTCACCGACATCTGCATGCGTCTCGGCGAGGGCAAGTATGTCCTTGTCAAGGACCCCAACAAGGTACCATTCTGGTTTCGCTCGTCTGTCTTCTCACTAACGGTGCACTCTAGCCTGTTATCCGACTCTATGCGGTCCCGATGTCGACTTTCACCGCCGACGAGGACGAAGGAGATGTATTCGGAGAGGAGGAACCACAGGAATGATTGTACACTTGCTTTTTCTGTGCAGCCCTTCGCTGGAGCTCTGTTCTCCAGTCGACTTGTACGTGAATGAAGAAAGTTTCTCATTCAACGACTCTAAAGTCGGAGAGTTGCAATTGGGTTATCGAATACGCTGCCCGCGTGTGAGCCTGAAGATAAAGAACATTCGGGGTATTTGCGCGCAGGTTTTTGTCAAGTCGACTTGTTGCCAATTGAACGAAGAAGAAGACACGCATGCAAAATATATCTTCAGAATTCATGCAAAGATTGGAGAACGTGAAACTTTCATAGGTGGAATCAAAGCCCACGCATGCACCGCATTCAGCCAAAATGGTCGTCTGGCAAAGAGAAGAGCGACGTTCTGCCAATGCTGGCGCCCGAGCGATAAGTGGTCTTGCGTCGCCCTCCTTCTAGCGTTTATTTAGTACAGAAGCTTTGTCGAAAACTCACGCGTGCAGCCGGTGGATGAGTGCTAGTATCTGCTCATGGGGCTACCAATTAAGTGCTTAGGCCCCAGGATATCAGGCTGCAACTGGTCACGGCGCCGGTTATTAGTGACAATAGTACTTATGGTCCAGGCGAGTGTGGAATGCTGAGGATCGATATCATCCACCGGATACAACTTCAACTGTAGATATTTACGTCTGGCCACTGGCGGGAGCTGGGACGTACAGTTAATGTGCATCTAGTAGTACATTGGGGCTATACTACGAGAATAAACAAATTAACTTCGCAAGTTCAAAACATTGAAGAAATAACGCACTGGCCGCGGCATCACATCGCGGCTCTACTAGTAAATAGCAAGTGCATAATGAGTATACTTGCTGATAGCAGGAAGCCAGCCGTGTCTTCACTGACTCAGAATACTACTGGAAGCTTGTCAACGAGGACATGAAACTATACATTAATATGAACGCCGCATTAAAAAGACCCAGAGTTACTTCCTAATATTCTGATCGGATGCCAACCACATAGCTCGCCGAATACATTCACAGTAACAACGCAAAAATATCCGTCTACAGCTGGGAACTCACAATGACGTCTCCTACACGTCCACATCAAAGACCAGGACTGCGAGGACCAATGAGGAAACGGTGACCAGCCGTGAGCTGGCAACGCCGCTGCATCCAATACAGCAAGCCAGAAATACACCGAATATTATTGCTGCGAACTCAAGAGTGTCTCTACCGCACCCTCGATATTGACACTACGAGAGTCGTGAGTAACCAACAGACATCGGGTGCTGCAACTACAGACCTGCGTTGGAGGGTCCCGACAAGAACCTCCCCGCCGGATGCCAGGGAACATCGTCGTGAGCTGTCCAATTTCCGCCTCCGTCGGAATTCGCACACCCGCGGCGGGCGAGCGGCCAGTTATACCTTGCACCCACTCCCGCACCACCGAGCCGCTTCCCTCTGGTTGTTGTGGTTGTTGCTGTTGCTGTTGGCGATTGCGGGGGGGCATCGAGGTAGGCCGGGCAGTTGTAATGACTTCGTCCTCCAGAGGCCCATTGTTACTCCCTCCAGCAGCATCGGGATATGCGCGATTTGAGCGTCTCGCAGCCCGTAACGATCCTAGCAGCGGAAAGAGGTAGTTTTGCGCAAACGAGACTGTGCCAGGAGGAAGGCGGTAGCTTTTTATAGCCGTGATGTCCGAACGATATATCTGCCCGGTGAGGATCCCGACCATGGCTGCAGCGAGCGAGCCTGGGAGATGCGAAAGTGCAAGTTGGAGCGCGAAAAGATAGGTAAAGCTTTTGTTGGTCAGCGGGAGCCCGAAGATGCGGAAGTCGTAGGCGGAGGGCACGATCCGTGCGTGCTGATAGAGGATGCTGAATATGAGCGTCGCTGGGCCGGCGGGGATATGGTTCAGGCCCGCACGGTGGAAGAGGAGGAGGGTCAGGAACTCGAGGGCGGTGGAGAGGATGGCAGAAATGACAGCGAATGACTAGAGCGTGTAAGTAATAGGGGAAGACGATCTCAAAACTCACAGCGAACTTGAGGCTACCAAACTGCCGCTCGACCTGCACGCCAATATTGAAGAGGATAAGTTCAGCGATGAACAGGTCGCTAACGCACTGATAAGGGCTGGCCGTCTAAAAGGACAAGAGACCATACCCCGAGCTCGAGAAAGCCAAATGGTGTGTAGGCAGTCGCCAATACTAAGCCAGCTTAGCAGCATACGTGGCGTCACAAACACACGCACCTGATAGTATCGCGAGATGTGGGGGACAAGCTACCCAGCCTGGGTCAAACGACGCGTCCAGAGATACCAAAAGCACCTGACCGCGAACGCACTTGGAGGTGGAAATAGTGCTTCACGTCGAACACGCCGACGAGCAGCGAAGAGATCGCAAGGCTCACCATGAGCCCTGTAGAGGTCTTTAATCGGCCATGAGCGGTGTAACAAAAGCGTACCTTTACACACAGGCGCGTATTCGAAAGACATTGTGAAAGGATTGGATGAGGCTACGTCAGCGGCAGGCACAAGCTGTGACCGTGACTCATCACGTGTCTGCCCATTGCTCCAAACTGCTGTGTCGCAGCCTCGCAGGTTCTTGTCCTTGTCCGATCCATTGCCACCTTACAGGTCCTGCTTGAATCGGAGTCCACCGCCGCTATTGGGCCGTGATAAGTTGACTGCAATCTCTTGGATGCAGGTTCCTTGACACGGGCTCTTTGGTTTCAAGGAGCAGGCTTCTTTCTCATTCAAGTAGTCGGCTTCTCAAGCCACCACGGCTGCCGCGCTGGCAACTGGCCTGCTTTGCCTCACGGACACATTCTATGCTGTGGCTGTAGCTGCTCTATGACATCCCGAGCTCCAACGCGACAGAACCTTGAATACATGAAAACCTCAAGCGCCGTAGCCAAATCGTAGCCCCATTTTCTCTGTAGCCGACCTCGGTCTCTCAACACCGTCCCTGCGATAACCCCCCGCCCACATGACGTCCTCCCGACGGGTCTTGGAGCGCATACGCGGCCTCGTTGTGTGCGCCATCAGCGTGATCGTCCAGCCTATATGCTTGCGGCGTTTCCCGGCATGCGTCACGTTGAGGCCGGGTCATGTTACGCAAGATTTACAGCCTCTTTATCTCAACAGCAATATCGGATCGAGCCATATACGGCCAGTCGCACGAATGACAGCGCGCGTCTACTCTAGATTGTGGGAACACCCGGCGATCCCCCAACAGCACCGTTATGTCCGCCGCTATTCTCTCTTCCTATCTCGCCCGGGAAGTATCTGCGGCAGGGACCCGCGGAGCCCACTGAATGGGTTCTTTCGTTGGCCACGGAAGAAGAGAAGACGGCGTTGTCCTGTTCGCTGACTCCAACTCTGGCGCAACAGCTCTCGTTTTTATCCGTCTAACTGCAATTGTCTGCGGAGTTCCGCGTCAGATTACCCACACACTCTATTGGAAGGGTTACAACGGGGGGCAGTGCTGAACTACATTGACAATTGCCTTGTCTGTTTTACTTCTCCAGTCAATGAAATCGCTGACTTGACCCAGGTCAGATACGACAGCAGTTACGCACAGCACTGCGCCAAAAACTGCAACACCCCCAATCGCGCGTCCATCCAGTCGATAATGCGGCGCCAACTGCCGGCCCTGGCATATCTGCGCTGTCTTCTCCGCCCTTGGCTTGCCTACCCCTGAAAACATCCAGCTCCGCGCCGCCCACCAAACGCCCATGGGCTTATCGCGGTGTCCGCCTATGCATATGTTTCTTTCCATTTCGGGCACAGGGACGCACATTGAGCCTTCTGCCTGACGCGCGGCAGCTGACGCAGTGCTGGCACGGTTTCCCCATTTGTGCGCCGCCAAACGGCAAACTGGAGGCGATCTGCTGATGGCCAGTGCGCCGGCGGGATTTGCCCAAATGGGGTTGTCTGATACCGCGCCGGCGTCATCGACGTGCGGGCGCCTATCCGGCCGGCTTTTCCTCTTGCCCCGGTTTTGGCCTTGCATCTTCTCGACCCTGCCGTCGTTGCCAGAGTGCATCCTGGCGCGACCGGAGACCGACACCGACAACGCTAAGTCGCTATGTGACTGTCGCGTTTCAAGTCTTACCCCGCCAATTCATGTAATGGCCAGACGCGTGCCTATTATCCGAGGTGGGGAACGTTTACCGGGTCTGCGCACGTTGAGCCCGGGCCAGAAGCCCCGTTAAATGTGTCGGCTAATGCTCATATAGGTTTCACGTTGCGCCGCCGCGATGCAGCAACCAAGCAATCTACTTTGCACGGCGAACGTGGACTGAATAATTCAACCTGCTTTGCTATTCCGATATTGGCACCGGGTAATCTGCACGGTTACTCGTCCCTCTGTCAGTATACCGTATTACCAAAGCGGAAAACGGATACAGTCCTGCAATGCCCATATGTACTCATCCGCACTTGCAAGCGAGTTGCGCCATACAATGCAGACTGCGAGCACATGGCGCGCCGCTCGACCCCGCTAGAAGCCCGCGCCAATATAAACGTGAACACTGCTGCGGTTCGGCTGCGACACGACGCCACGGTGGGCGGCTTGCCCGTTCGGGCGACGTGCCTTGACATCCTCGTGAGTCTTGACTTGATCCCAACTCGATCTGCTGACCGCCGCAAAGTCCGGTCCGCAGAACTTGGACGACTCACACACACACCTCGCATCAGGCGCGTCAAACAACTTTCCCACTCCACAGACTATACGCTTAACTTAGACTTTGATGCCGTCTAAGCGATCCACATGTAAAACCTTCGCAATCTTATCTGTGGATCATTCTGAATTTGGTTGGCCAACTAAGAACCCTGTAGACCTATGTAAATTACTCAGAGAAGCTTGTGATTTGCTTGGGATACTTGTTCCTACTGTCAAGGGAATCTCCCTTTCCAACCCACAGAGTTGTCTCTATTTCCAGTGCAGAGTTGTCTCTGGCTTTGCATTCACCAACTCCATCAGGTGCAATTTGACATGACTGCCTTCTCTATCCTCTTCCTTTGGTCCTTGCATTGCACTTGTGGACTGATGCAATCAAATCCATCAAATAAGCAATAAAATGCCTACTATAAATGGAAAATCAGCTATATTAACTTATAACTAAGGCCCTGTAGGGATTTTATAATATAGTGCCTGTACTAAGTATTTTAATTGTTTGGCACCCCCCCCAAGGTGCATGAATAACTGATGAAAAAAATTATCAGGCTGATGTCAGGGGAACCCCTGCTTCAGCCTCCTTCGGACCCTCCGAGCGCATCCGAGGCGCATCCGACCGGCGCCCCCTCAGACGCTCCGACCCACCCCGACCATCATCCACGACCTCCTTCACCCGCACAATCACCGATCCGTCAAGACCCTCCCAATGATCACCTTGGGACAGAGCCTGCGACACCGCTCAGGCCTTCTGCGCTCTACGTCGGCAGTTACGGACGACCAGTATATAGTTGGCGCCCTAGCAGGTGGACCCTTAGAGTTTCTTCTCTTTGGATCCTCCCCTGCTAGGTCGGTCCCTCCGTGTATTTCCATAGCTTTTATTCACGCTTTGGATCCTCCCCTGCTAGGCTTTCGTCGGAGTCTCCAGGGTTGCCCTTACAGCTGAGCCCTGGGTGACATGTGACTGAGGAGCTGTTTAAAGTCACACCAACAAAGACAAAATATCAGCTAGTAAGCACAGAACCTGGAGGCCTGAGAGTGAGGTCCTAGCAGGGGAGGATCCAAAGAGAAGCAACTCTAAGGGGTCTGCCTGCTAGGCAGCTGACTATTGACAATTTACAAAAAAACCAAAATGCAATTCACTGCAGACATTTGACTGAAAAGCCTCCCCTATATCACAGATAAGACCTGGCCCATCCGCTCTGGCGCTGGTGTTGGGCCATAACAGGCCCGCAACACGCAGCATATGACGACAGGGAACAGGCACCCCAGTAGGATGAATGCACACGTGGGAAGCACATGACCGAGAATGACGTGTCGAGCTGTCGCCGAGCCCAACTCGACACCAGGGGATTGGGGGGAGTACTAGGAGGTTAGGAGTAGCGCCTGGCCTGCAAGGGATGTACAATCGTCCCCTCTGCAGCCAGGAACGGGGCGAGGGAGGAGCAGGAGAGGCCAGGGTGTCCAATCACCCCTTTGCGGGCCTGCATATATAAACGCGCGATAGGTATACCATGTACTCCATCACTTAGATCGTCTAAAGTACCGCTTCTCTCCATGCAAGGAGGAATCACTGACTCATTGGGCCCGAAACGACCCCATTCGAACCTTCGACCACTGATAACGACTAGGGACTGAGTTAATGGGCCCTTTCAGTGCAAATCTACCCTGCTTGCTCTGCTTACGGGCCTGACAACTCGTCTGTTCTGTTCTGGGCATGTATTCTTAAGAGAGACCTTGCATGGCCCGACCCGAAGCCTAACAAAAACAAGAGTGTTTATAAACAGTTTTTAAAACAAGGGGGGATTACTCAATATACTTTAGTGTCATAATGAATATCTAGTACTACTACTTCTCTCCACCCTATCATTAGACTACCTCTTGATAGCAACAGTATTTTCCACATCTCAGCAACTAGGTATTTATTATCCGATGTGGCTCGTCCCAAAAGGGTTGTAGAAATGCACAGTCATTCCCGATATGGGGGGGCTGGTTTCAACATGATTCTCTAGAGCCAAACCTTAGGTTCGGCAATTATGCTACAGAGGACCAAGTTATGATATTATTATTATGCATTGTGCATAATATCATAAGTCGGCCAGCACTAAAGTTTGTATCATGGTGCCGATCATCGCATCGGGCGCAGTTGGCCCGGCGCGCCGCCGCGGAAGTAGTGGGCACTGGGCATTGCCGGTGGGCAAGGCGTCTTCTCGCCACTGGCGCTGAGTCCACGCTCGGCGTCGAGTCGAAATGTCCTCCGATACTTACTCTTATTATGGAGTAAGTCACTTACTAGTACTCTATAGCTCATCAGAAACGGAGCACTTGCTTCAAGTTAACACGCTGACCTTCTATAGCAGGCTGTGGCGCCGCCGCCGCACGGGCTTCGGGACGGCCGAATGTGCGTCGGCTACTCGTAATTATAAGCACAGGCTCCACCCTCGGACTCGGGCTCGCGATACGCAGGTGTGCTTCTCTGCCGCCGGCGCTCGGAAACCCGCCGCGACACAGGTGACAATACAGCTGAACAAGACTTGCAGTCTATGTTACTCAGCCGCACCCACGCGTACGGTCCCACGCCCCGCCGGCGTCGCGGAAACTTGAAAGTGCGGTATGACTATGGCACGGGCCGCTCCGGCGGGCTGGAGCGACACAATACTTGCGCCTTGCACGCGTTACGGCGCTCGGCGCCCGCACCACGTCCAGCGACCGTGACCGTGAACGTGGCGCGAACAGGCTGCAGCAGCCCGGGCTCCGCCCTCCCTGCAATGCACACTGGACCCCGGGCACGCCCGCAACTGTCCACCCGCTCTCTATT